CACTTTTTCAATTGAACAGTAAATGAATTTCTTTATTTTTTTTTTAAAGACATCCATTGAGGAGTGGCAGGGGATTGAAAGAGGGGCTTGGGAAGCACATGGCATGAAGTAGGGCCACCCGAGCAGCCCGGCGAAGGCCAAGTGGGCACAGACTGTCCTTACACTTGGCCTGGCGGGATTTGTCCCACATAGAAGTTGCCTCTCTGGCTATTTCTACCTGCAAGGCCTGGAGAACGCATGCTTTGCAATAAATAGCTGTTCATGTTGGAAGCTTATAAGCCCTTTCTTGGCCAGGGTCCCTGTCACTGTGACTCAACCCAGTAACAACGCTTCATCCCACCTGTCATATTTCACAGACATCCTTATTCCTAACTGCTAGGATGGATATTGGATCACCATCCTTCCTGCTCTGAGGTCTTCCTGTCCTCTGGGTTTAATTCACTGCCTTACTTTGACCCCTTTCCCCTGTGTAAACTGTCTGGGCTGACTTCTAAGTGAATTTTCTGTTTCATTCTCCACTTGTGAGTTCACTGAGCTTGTAGTCCAAGTACAATTCCAATGTGGTCTCAGGATCATCCCGCTCCCGGAGTCTTTCTTCCATCTGTGACTGTCTTCGATCCTGTAGCTGCCTCCATCACCACCCAAAGTGACCATGACTTTGTTCTTGAGTTCCTGGCATCCCCCAGTGCATACAGTAGAGGACTGGGAGGGAGTGATCTCCCCTCCCACAGTTGGACATCCAAGAGAAAGAGTTGGGTCAGGGGGCTTGAGAATGAGCAGGCACCATTAGGTGCTGGGCTACGATTTGCCTCATAAATTAGAAAACTAGCATACATTTCCATGTCAAGTATCTTGGAACCAGCCTCCCCTCCTTTAATTGGTACTTGGCTTCCACAGGCCGTAATTCGACTCTGGTGAAGTTGTTATTCAATGTCTTGATAAAGATACAGGATGACAGAATAGACATATTTCCATCAAAACAATTCCAGAATCAAATTAGCAAATTTGGAATTTTATGGTAGTTAACAGTAACAAAACCGGTCCTTTCCAGCCCCATGACATCCGTTATTCTAATAGTGGCATTTGTCCATTCAAGGATTCAGCCTTAGCTTGGCATTCAACCAACAGATGGTCCATCTAGAGAGTGTCTACCTCCTGACACAGAATCAAAAATTGCTGCTCATTCATTTCATCTATTAATGACCAATTTGCACCCAGTCGATTAGATCAGGTCAGTAGTTAGATCCAATTAGGCAACTCAATGTTTTCCCTTTAAAGCACTTGGCGGTTCCACTTCTGATCCAGCTCCCTGCTAATGTGCCCTGGGAAAGCAGCAGAAAGATGGCCCAAGTGTTTGGACTCCTACCACCCACCTGGGGGAACCTGTCTTCATCCTGGCCCAGGCTTGGCCACTGGGGACATGTGGGGACTGAACCAGTAGATGGAAGATCTCTCTTTCTCCTTCCCTCTCTCCCTCGCTCTAGTTCTATCTATCTCCTTTCTGTACCTGCTTTTCAAATACATAAATAATTTTTTTTAAAAAAAAGGACCAAAAAACCCCACTCTTTTTTTTTAAAGATTTATTTATTTATTTATTTGAAAGTCAGAGTTACACAGAGAGAGAGAGAGGTCTTCCATCCACTGGTTCACTCCCCTATTGACTGCAACGTCCGGAGCTGGGCCCGTCTGAAGCCAGGAGCCAGGAGCTTCTTCTTCTAGGTCTCCCACATGGGTTGTAGGGGCCCAAATACTTGGGCCATCTTCTACTGCTTTCCCAGGCCATAGCAGAGAGCTGGATCAGAAGTGGGGCAGCCAGGTCTTGAACCAGCACCCATATGGGATGCCGGCAGGCGGCAGGCGGCAGCTTAACCCACTGTAGCACAGCGACGGCCCCCAAAACCCCCACTTTTAAAAACTTGGATGTAACTACTCTACTGAAGATACCACTGTCTATGGTATACTTTACTTCCTGAATATCAGAATCAAAACTCAAGGTGACCGGAATGGCCATACCTGCAAAAGGCCAGCTCTAAAGATGGGACACAGAGGGTGAAAAACAATTTATGCTCATATAGAATACTGGTTGCTATGAATCATAAGCCAAGAAAACATCACATCCAGGTGTGATGTGCTCTCAACAGGCTTGGTATTCTTATAGGAAAATATATTGTAGCAGCCTAACTCATGGTGGTTTTGAATAAAATATCTATAAATTCCAATCACAGAGAAAATGTCACTGTGATGCAGAGAATCCTCACATGCACATCTGGGAGCGGCTTCCTGGTGATTATCTTTGGCATTCATTGGCATTCTATTAATTCTCCCTGTGCTCAGGAAAAGCTAACCCCTGTGTGCATTTCCTCTAATTGTAAAGCAGTGACATCTTTCAGTCACAAGCACATAACAACCAATGATATTGGTGCCCCTTGCAGTCTTACCTAATCCATTTCATAAATGTTTCAGTTTGGGGCAATAAAGTTGCCTTAATGGAACAGAATTCTGAAAATCATGTCTACATAAAGTAATAGAACCATGCTTCAACTATTTTGACTGTCACCTCTCACTGAGATGTTAGGCAAATAGGATTTATTTCTTGTGCTAATTCCAACTACAGTCAATGCCTGCTGGCTATTTGGAGCTTTGCGTGTTGAAGGGCTTTTTGACACTATGACTGGTCTCAGCAGGAAAGATTTCTATAATTGATTAGTGATGTCTGCCATGGGCACAGGAGGGGGGAGTTATAGTATGAAACATTGTTCTAGCCACAAGGAATGACTGCAATATTATGTAGAAAAATCACATTCCATAGACCCAGCTAAATGTGTTCCTTTGAACATGATTCAGTGCATCCTCATCTGAGAAACACAACTATAATTAGATGTTCTCTGACCCAGTACATGTTTGGGGATCCAAATTGTTTTATATATGTTAGGACTGGGCCAGCACTGCGGTGCAGTGTTGGGTTAAGCCAACACTCACAATGCTGGTAGCCCATATTAGAGAGCTGGTTCAAGTCCTGGCTGCTGTGCTGCCAATCCAGCTTCCTGCTAATGCACCTAAGAAATCAGCAGGTGATGGTCAAGTACGTGGATCCCTGTCATCCCTGCAGGAGACTTGTATGGAGTTCCTGGCTCTTGGCCTCATTCTGGCCCAATCTTGGCATTTATAGTCATTTGGGAATTGAATTAGCAGAAGGAAGATTGATCTCTCTCTCTCTACCCCTGCCACTCTGCCTTTCAAATAAATAAATAAATCTTTAGGAAAAATATATAAATGTATATGTTAGGAGGGAAAAATAAGATACAAGACTTCTAATCTTTTGGTGTTATAATCCAATCTCACTCTTAAGATATTCAAAATAAGGCCGCGCCTCGGCTCAATAGGCTAATCCTCCGCCTTGTGGCGCCGGCACACCAGGTTCTAGTCCTGGTCGGGGCGCCAGATTCTGTCCTGGTTGCTCCACTTCCAGGCCAGCTCTCTGCTGTGGCCAGGGAGTGCAGTGGAGGATGGCCCAAGTACTTGGGCCCTGCACCCCATGGGAGACCAGGATAAGTACTTGGCTCCTGCCATTGGATCAGCGCGGTGCGCCAGTCGCAGCGCGCCCACCACGGCGGCCATTGGAGGGTGAACCAACTGCAAAAGGAAGACCTTTCTCTATGTCTCTCTCACTGTCCACTCTGCCTGTCAAAAAATTAAAAAAAAAGATATTCAAAATAACCAGGTACATTCAAACCAGTAGGGTTTTAAATGTCGAAGTTAAAAGTACAAAAGTGCACACATACTCAACTATCAATGGTCAGGATGGTGTCTGTCTAGCATCTCTTTATTATGAATGATTCCTCCTCGTTCAGTATTCTAAATAGCCCAAGCTTCTTGGGTGGCTAGATTCTAAGAATTAAAAAATAGGACTCTTCAGGGGTGAGCCTACAGCCAGCACATTATCACTTCTGCCACAGTGAAAACAAGTCACAAGGCCAGCCTAGATTCAAAGGCAGGACAAATAGATTCCACCTCTTCATGGGAAAACTGGGAAAAAGTATATGCCATCATTAATCAACCAAAAGTCAAATGCTGTTCTTTCCTTGCCCTTGCCTGTGCCCCCACAATTATTTTTTTAAAAGATTTTATTTTATTTATTTGAAAGACAAAGTTACAGAGAGAGGTAGAGAAAGAGAGAAGTCTTCCATCTGCTGGTTCACTCCCCAGATGGCCGTAAGGGCCGGAGCTGTACTGATCCAAAGCCAGGAGCCAGAAGCTTCTTCCGGGTCTCCCACGTGGGTTCAGGTGCCCAAGAACTTAGGCCATCTTCTACTGCTTTTCCAGGCCATAGCAGAGAGCTGGATCAGAAGTGGAGCAGCCGGGACTCGAACCGGCGCCCATATGGGATGCTGGCACCTTAGGGCCAGGCTTTAACCGGCTGCGCCACAGCGCGGACCCAATGTCCCCACAATTCTTCCAGCTGTCTTCCCCATGCCTCACCTACAGAATCTGAGACAGAAAACACAGCAATGGGTTCCAGACAGAGGATGGTCTATTCTACCGTCAATCTGCAGTCTACAACTAAGAACTAGAATGACTTCCAGTGCCCAAGACTCCCCACACCCCTCCCTCAGATGGACTCAACTGACCAAATCTTTTAACTAAGGCTGCAGTCAAGGCACCTGATTTCCACTCCTCCTCATCACATTGCCAACTGCTCATGTCACCACCTCACGGCTGGGGCCTTGCTCTGGTCATGCCTAGTGGCAGGGTCCAACTGCCTGTCCCTAGTCAACGCACTGTTCTGGTTATGTCATAATTTCCTAGATCCCCAGATCTTGTCTGTCGACAGTTCTTTGTCTACCAAAATTAATACTGTTTTCCCAATAATTTACAAAACTGTAATTGAGACTAATGTGCTCCTTGAAAACGGTACCTTTGGGATAATTTTCAGCATCTGATCACGTCCCCCTGCCTTTGGCACATCCTGGTGTGTGTTTTCATGCCGAGAACAAACTCACCTATATTTACACCTTCTCCCAGCTGCTTCCAGGGAGCGGAGGACTTCAGCCTGAATTCTATGTTTAGAGGCACCTTGATGACACCAGCCATGAATGAACACTCGTCATATCTCCCACACATTGAGCTGTCCCGCTCCTTTCATTTCCAGCTCCAGTCCTCTTCTGTTGTGAAAGAGAGCACAGCACACACAGAGTCATTGAGAGAGCAAGGCAAAATAAATTCTTCCAGCTTAAACACTTTTTATGTTGGTCATCTGTGAGGTTGATTGTACCAGTTCGGGCCCTTTTGATTGCATATGGACAACCCAGTGAATCAGAGCTTAATTAAAGCACGGATTTGTTGGCTCAGGTAACATGAAAGTGCAAGTGAAAGCAGACTTCAGATAAAGCTAGATTCAAGGTTCAAGCGGTAGAGGACTGTGTTTCCCTGGTTCTCTTGGCTCAGCCCAGTGCCATGCCGACTTCTGTACTGGGCTTCCTGGGATGATCACAACAGCTCTGGGCTCCCACTTCACAGAGCAAGATATCTGCCACAACACTATTCTCAACTCTTCCCAGGAGAAGAGTGAGCATCCTTCTCACTTCCAGCCACACAAGTCACGTGGCTCATCTGGCTGGGCTGATATCTAGCGCTGGCATACTCGTTCTGAACCTTCAGCCTAAGGAGTTATTTTAAGTTGCTTGGCTTAAATCTGGGTTGTATGGAACTTTGTGCAGACTCCCTGAAAAGAGAATGGTGGGAAGTAAGTCTGATCAGGGACTATAGCTGGAAGAAACGGGAAAGAGTGTTGGGAAGTGGCCGGCACTATGGCTCACTAGGCTAACCCTCCGCCTGCGGCACCGGCATCCCAGGTTCTAGTCCCGGTTAGGGCGCCGGATTCTGTCCCGGTTGCTCCTCTTCCAGTCCAGCTCTCTGCTGTGGCCCAGGAAGGCAGTGGAGGATGGCCCAAGTGCTTGGGCCCTGCACCCGCCTGGGAGACCAGGAGAAAGCACCTGGCTCCTGGCTTTGAATCGGCGTAGTGCGCTGGCTGCAGTGGCCATTTGGGAGGTGAACCAATGGAAGGAAGACCTTTCTCTCTGTCTCTCTCTCTCTGTCTAACTCTCTCTGTAAAAAAAAAAAAAAAAAAAAAAAAAAAAAAATGTTGGGAAGCAAGACACAAAAATGTCCATGGCATTGAGAGACTGATATTGGATGATTGGATGACAAATTCCTAAAATGCTTAGAAAGCTCAAACAGTGGGCTTAAATTTTTAAAGTGAACTGAAGTATATATGAAGTGTTTCACAGGGATGCAAAAAGTCATCCCAATGTGAAAAACACTGTAATCAACTCTAAGCTCAGTGTGAACCAATAAATTGATTTGCCTATCAGCTACATTAACAAAACCTAATGTACTCTAATTTTCTAACTATTAAGACTACTTAGGCCTGCGCCGCGGCTCACTAGGCTAATCCTCCGCCTTGTGGCGCCGGCACACCGGATTCTAGTCCCAGTCGGGGCACCGGATTCTGTCCCGGTTGCCCCTCTTCCAGGCCAGCTCTCTGCTGTGGCCAGGGAGTGCAGTGGAGGATGGCCCAAGTGCTTGGGCCCCGCACCCCATGGGAGACCAGGATAAGTACCTGGCTCCTGCCATCGGATCAACGTGGTGCGCCGGCCGTGGTGGCCACTGGAGGGTGAACCAACGGCAAGGGAAGACATTTCTCTCTGTCTCTCTCTCTCACTGTCCACTCTGCCTGTCAAAAAAAAAAAAAAAAAAAAGACTACTTAACATTAGAATTAGTGGCCTTAGGAGAGAGTTTCTGACTTGCCACTAGATATGAGAACTCAAAAGCCATATAATCACTTAGAGGAAGCCTCTGGAGGAAACTGGGGTTCATAGATTCTTCCAATCACTCACTCATCCACTCAGCATATATTTGCCGAATGCCTATGGTGCAGGCACAGATATCCTGAAGCAGATGCTGAGAACCATTTTGGCATGCAGGCTACATTTCAGGCATCAGCCCAGTGCAAACGGAGGAGGAGGCAGGATTGGGCAGAAAACACACAGACCCCAGGGAGCTCTGGGACTTGAGAGGAAATATAGCCTACAAGGTTTTCCCATGGGCTTCAATATTCTCCACTTGACTATTGGATGTGGACCACTGGGAAGCAAAGCTGTGTTCCCAAAGGAGACCACTTTTTGCGGCTGAGGCAGACCTTAGAGGAGATGACAAGTTGGAGCTCAGCCTTTCTGTGTCCACCCAGCCTACTAAGTGCCAAGCATACGTCTAACCATTGAAAACACAGTTGGGGGCCGGCGCTGTGGCATAGCAAGTAAGGCCACCGCCTGCAGTGCCTGCATCCCATATGGGCGCTGGTTGAGTCCAGGCTGCTCCACTTCTGATCCAGCTCTCTGTTGTGGCCTGGGAAAGCAGTGGAAGATGGCCCAATTGCTCTCACATGGGAGAGCTAGAAGAGGGCCTGGCTCCTGGCTTCAGATCAGCACAGCTCCAGCCATTGTGGCCACCTGGGGAGTGAGCCAGAGGATGGAGGACTCTCTCTCTCTCTCTCTCTCTCTCTCTCTCTCTGCTTCTCTCTGTAACTCTTCCTTTGGAATAAAATAAATAAATCACAAAAAAGGAAACACAGTTGGTCAATAAGACAGAAAACAAGGTTCAAGTAAAGAGCAAGAATTCTAGCAGAAGATAAAAATATAATTTTTTGGGCCAGCACCGTGGCTCACTTGGTTAAACCTCCGCCTGCGCCGCCAGCATCCCATATGGGAGCCGAGTTCTAGTCCTGGTTGCTCCTCTTCCAGTCCAGCTCTCTGCTGTGGCCTGGGAAGGCAGTAGAGGATGGCCCAAGTGCTTGGGCCCTGCACCGGCATAGGAAACTAGGAAGAGAAGCACCTGGCTCCTGGCTTCGGATCGGCGCAGCGCCAGCTGTAGTGTCCATTTTGAAGGGTGAACCAATGGAAGGAAGACCTTTCTCTCTGTCTCTCTCTCTCACTGTCTATAACTCTACCTATCAAATAAAAAAAAAGAATATAATTTAAAAAATTATTTGAGAGGCAGAGAGAGAGAGAGAGAGAAAGAGAGCAAGCTCTCACTTTCCAAATGTTCACAACAGTTTGAAGTGTGTTGGGGCCAAAGCAAGGAGCCAGAAACTCAATACCTGTCTCCCACTTGGGTATAAGGAACCCAAGCAGTTGAGCTATCACCATTGCCTCCCTAGGTCCACACTAGCAGGAAACTAGAGTTAGGAACCGGAGCTGGATATCAAACCCAGGCACTTCAATATGGGAGGCGCTTCCCAACCAGTGTCTTAATAACTAGGGTAAAAAAAAAAAAAAACACCTTGGCAATACAATTTTTAAATGACCTAAATGAATGTACACAGGTGAGTGATAAATGCCATGCTGGAACATGCAAAATGTGAGATGAAGGCAGAATGTGCTAGAAGAAGAAATGTTGGATAGTGGTATGACACCTGTGCTATTTCCATTAATTATAGTAAAGCAGATACCTAGGAAAATAAAAAGGATGAACTTGTGCACATGTAGGGGGAGGGGTCCAGACAGAGAGTGCGGAAAATCCAAAGGTTTGGAGGAACAGCAAGGACATTCACGAGGATGGAGCCGGACAGGGGAGAGTGGGAAGAGGAGAGCTCAGGGCAGGGGAGCAGATCATGCCAAGACACGGAACCAAGTTTATGCTCAAGGACCATGCTAAAGACTCACGGTAGGAAGAGATGGTAGAAATGACTTCTCCATTTTATAGAAGAGAAGAGGGAATGACATGGAAGTGATGCAATGAGTCCAAAGTTGTATAGCACTGTAGAAATCCTGAAGAAAGTCAGTTGACAGAGACAACAGTTTGCCTTTGGCTGCTTGTCAAAGAAAGCCTGAGTTCAGAGAGGCTTCAATAAAAGGAAACTGACTTATCTCACATTACTGGAAGACCAGAGTGGAGAGGGCCCCGAGCATAGTTCTGTGAGTGCCTCAATAATATTCCTTTCGTCTTTCCATCTGCCATTCTCATTGTATCGGTCAAGATGGGCTAGGACATGCTGCAGGAGCAAACCACAATTCCAGAAGCTTTCGAAAGTGAAGGTATATATATATAATATATATACATATATATATATGTAATGTACATGTTATATATATTATATATATATTACACATACTGCATGTCCATGTTGGGGGACTACTATTTAAAAAGATTTGTTTATTTATTTGAGAGGCAAAGTTACAGACACAGAGAGGGAGAGACAAAGAGAGGTCTTCCATCCACTGGTTCACTCCCCAAATGGCCACAACGGCTGAAGCCCGGCAGATTGGAAGCCAGGAGCCAGGAGTCTCCTCCACGTCTCCCACATGGTACAGGGGCCCAAGTATCTGGGCCATCCTCCATTGTTCTCCCAGGCCATCAGCAGAGAGCTGGACTGGAAGAGGAGTAGCCGGGACACAAACGGGCACCCACATGGGATGCCAGCGCCGCAGGCGGAGGACTAGCCCACTAGGCCATGGCACTGGCTCCGGGCACTATTTTTTCATTAGTCCTCGGAATGCCTCATTGTACTCACAGAAGGACCTAGCCTCACAAAACCACTCCCGTATAGAACATTACGATCACCATGCAGCAGCAATTAGATGCCCTGCTTCAGAAATCACACACATCATTTTTGTCCACACCTTGTGGACTGGTAGTAGTCAGTTTCCCCCTCTCACTCACAAGTGGGCCAGGAATTGCAATTCCACTATAAGCCTGAGGGGGCAGAGATATTTAGTGCACAGAGCTCCTGACTATCAAGCTAAATATCAACTTTAACTCCTAGCTGGTACCTCTCTCTTGCCAAGGTCACACCATCCAGAAAAATAGCACTCAATAAGGAAGAGGAATGATCACTATTTGGAAGCTTTCCCCAGCATCCTGAAGATTCCCCTGCTTAGCATGGACCAGAACAGGAGAACTTGGATCACATGTCCATTCTTAAATAATCTTAAATAATGAAGATGCATTTCTTCATTGGTAAGGGCAATAGGGCAATAGTATTATTATTATTCACTCAGCCCAACTGGGATCGGCCCTCCAGGGGACAAGAACTGGGTCACTTTTTCTTGAACTTCAAGGTTGTCTGAAGTTGAAAAAGATGTTGGAAGGTAGGAATTTTCTCTAGTACCTTTTTTTTTAAGAATCATGTATTTATTTGAAAGGCAGTTACAAAGAAAGAGAGAGAGAAGAGAGAATTTTCCATCTGCTGGTTTACTCCCCAAATGGTTTTAATGGCTGGGGTTGGGCCAAGCTGAAGCCAGGAGCCAGGAACTCCATCTGAGTCTCCTATGTGAGTGGCAAGGACCCAAGTACTTGGATCATCTTCTGCTGCCTTCTTGGGCACATAAGCAGGGAGCTGGATCAGAAGCACAGTAGCTAGGACTTGAACCTGTGCTCTGGTATGGGAGGCCGGCATCTCAGGCAGTGGCTTAACCTGTTGTGTAAGGCTCCTCTTTGGTACTTTTCAATGAGTTAAATCCACAAAAGAAGGATGCTTCAATACTGTCAGCAATTCAGATACTGAAGCTGGAAGGAGAAACACGGGGAACACATGGTGGTAGATAAGCAGTCCGGTCTACCACACAGAGTAAACTAAACCAGGAGGACTGGATGTGTCAATAAGAATGTACTGCATGGAGGATGGCCCAAGTCCTTGGGCCCTGCACCTGCATGGGAGACCAGAAGCACCTGGCTCCTGACTTCGGATCAGTGCGGTGTGCCGGCCGCAGCACACTGGCCGCAGCGGCCATTGGAGGGTGAACCAACGGCAAAAGGAAGACCTTTCTCTCTTTCTCTCTGTCTACTCTGCCTGTCAAAAAAAAAAAAAAAAAAAAAAAAAGAAAACAAGAATGTACTGCAGAATGAGTTGGAATAAATCAGTCCCAAGCTCTTAACCAACCTATTTTCTGTGACTCTGTTGATACCACCATTTATGAGCATGGAGGTTCGGGACACATTTGTAGGCCATGGGGGTCTGAAGCAATAAGCCAGTTTTCTTGACGTAGATAAAATCCAATCAAAGTCCCACAAGAGGAAGATGCATTTCTTCTACCCATCATTAGGGAGCACCCAGAAACAGAAAAGGGGGGAAGAGAAATCTCAGAGAAGCGGAAAGCACAGGAGTAACTTGGAAATGACACAGAGGATGAAGGTCACAAGGAACAGGGCTGCTGTCCTCAAATACGTTGTTATGACTCTTAAATGGGTATGTCTATCCTGTCTGCTCTCCTGAGCTGAACAGTGCCATTTAGCTCTCTCCAAGGCACTTCAATCCCACCTTGGCTAGCTCTAGCCTGAACTCGGATGACCACGCTCAGCCTACTTGCTATGGCCATCAACCACCAAACATCTATTTCATCACTTCACTACTTCTTTATTTTTGAAAAAAAAAATTTTTTTTAAAGAGAACATATTTATCGACATGAATGACCTTACATTATGTTTCTAACCTTGATCTTAAGCTGATGACAAGAAAATGCAAGTCTTCGGCTAAGTCATTGTTCACCCCAGCAGATCGAATACCTCATGGCTCTGCACGATGCTGTTGCATGAGTTCAGTTTGTCCACAGTTCCTCCATCTTTTTTTTTTTGACAGGCAGAGTGGACAGGGTGAGAAAGAGACAGAGAGAAAGGTCTTCCTTTGCCGTTGGTTCACCCTCCAGCGGCCGCCGCACTGCACTGATCCGATGGCAGGAGTCAGGTGCTTCTCCTGGTCTCCCATGGGGTGCAGGGCCCAAGCACTTGGGACATCCTCCACTGCACTCCTGGGCCACAGCAGAGAGCTGGCCTGGAAGAGGGGCAACCGGGACAGAATCCGGCGCCCTGACCGGGACTAGAACCCAGTATGCCGGCGCCGCAAGGCGGAGGATTAGCCTAGTGACCCGCGTCGCCGGCCCTCTTTTTTTTTTTTTTTTTTTTTTTTTAACCTGGATTATCAGGACAGTTTCCAGACTACTTTTCCTGTACCCAGTCCAATATTCCCTACTCCATCTGACTTAGGAGATCCAGGGAACCTATAAATCTGATCTTCTCCTGATGAAAACTCAGCAATAGTTGCCCCTCAATACGTGGAAGGTGTGAAATAAATTCAGGTTCCTTGGCAAGAGATACACTGCCCTCCTGGGAAAGATCCCCAGGGTGTATCCTGATCTGCACGCATCCCCCTGCTCATACTCTGCTCACTTCGCGGCTTCCTGAATTTGCTAAGGAGGGTCCCTCTACTGGTCCTTCCTCTCTTGCTTGCTTTATTAACTCTCAGTCACTCTTCAAGATGGTGCTCATCGCCCCAGCGAGAAGGCTGCGTTTGGCACCGGGGCACCTGCCATCTGCTCTCAGGGCCCTCCGTGTCCATCTTTACCAAGGGACATCGCCATGCCCCGTGGAAGCCATGTGCTATGTCTTCCCAACCCTTTAGCACTTACAAGGGGCCTGGCGGAGAGTAGGCACCGAACACATGTTGAACAGAATCTTTCAGAAGAGGGTGGCAGCTGAGAGGCAGGGAGAAAGTGCGGAGGAAGAGGGAGAGACTGGAGGGAGTTCCCCCAAGGGAGTTTGGCACCACCTGGCCTTGATCATTGCCCCAGGAGCTCCCCCCTCAGGCTCAGACTCTGCCTTGTTCCAGCTCTGACCCTGAAGAAGCACCCAGGAGGGCTACACCGGAAGTCTCACGGAAAATCCCATACTGCCCGCTTGTCCTCTGACAAGTCTGCTTGTCCCTTGCCTTCAACCAAAGCACTTAGAATTTGGGCCGCGCCCGGGGCTTTTGTTCTCATTTCACCCCCACCTCCTCCAAGGACGCACAGGAAAGAGGCTTGTGACTCCCCCTCGTGGGGATGGCCTCATAGCTTGAAAGTTAGACTCAGGCTTCCTTCACACAACGTCGTTGCTCCCACACCGGCCCAGGAATAACACCCCTCCCCCGCGCGCCTATCCCCTCCAACCTCACCAGCCACACGCAGGAACTTTTCCAACTCAGCTTCAACGCTCTGAACCACAGTCTGGGGACACTGGGAGTGCCACCCACGGCCGGAGCTCCCTCAAGTCCACGACCTTGTAGGTGGTGGGGTGGGGAGGAGGGCTCCGCTCCTGGCAAAGCCACTTGACCCCTGGCCTCAGTTTAAGAACCTGTAGCAATGGGTCTGACCTCTTTCCTCGGCTGCTAGAGTCACCGCTAGGGAGAGGTAACGGCTTGCGCAAAGCCTAACTCCCGTTCTGGAAGCGCGCAGGCAGCGGGGGGGCTCGCGTGGGAACCGCCGCGAGGGCTGCAAGGGGCAACAGGCAACCGCTGGGGAAGTGCGGCCGGGCCGGACGCTCCCGCCCCGCTGCGCGGCCCCTCTTCACCGGCTCGCCGTGGAGGAACTGGTGGCTTCGGTGACGCGCAGACTCAAGTGCTGCTGCTAGGCAGGGGGAGAAATAAAAAGGAGCCCCCCCCCCTTCCCCGGCCCCTAGCATCACCCCGCCCCAGCTCCCCAGGCGCCTAGGCGTGGAAACGTGGGCGGCGGCGAGCGGCCGTCCCCCTCCGCGCGCGGCGCTCCCTGTGCGCCGTGTGTGAGTGCGTGTGTCTCCCTCGCTCCTCTCGCACACGCTCCGGCACTAGTGCAGGCGCAGAGCCCGCGGCTCTCGGTTCGCTGGCTCACTCGCTCGCTCGCTCGCTCAGTCGCTGCGCTCCTGCCTCGCCGCCGCCGCCGCCACTGCAGTCGCAACCGGGCATGGTGAGTGAGTGAGGTTCGGCCGCCGCACGCGGACCCCAAGCTCCCCGCCCGACCCCACCAGCCTTAGCCGGCGCCGTCCCGGCCAGCCAGCCAGCCTGCGGCGGGAGCGCGCGGCGGGCCCCGGCGGCCCGTGCGCTCTTGGTCCCCGGCGCGCAGGGCCGCCCGACTCCGTCTTGGGAGCGAGCTCATTGCCCCTCCCGGTCCAGAGCTTGGCTCCTCGAGGGCTGCGCGCTCCCTCCTCGCCCGTCCGCTGCTCCGCTCCTGCCCGTCGCCCCACCCCGTGACCAGCTCCCTGTCTTGTCCCGCAGGACCCGCCCGGACGGGACCACGTCGCCACCGCCGCCGCCGCCGCCCGGAGCCGCGCTTCGGGTCCTGCCTGAGCCGAGTCGCGCGCGGGGCCGCCGCCGCCGCCGGCGGGGGATGGGGCTGCCCGGCAGGCGCGCCGATCCCGCAGGGGGAGCGCGGAGCCGGCGCGCAGCCTGAGAGCCCTCCCGGAGCAGCCCGCGCCGGGCCGGTCCGTGCGCACCGCGCGCCGCCACTGCCGCCGCCGCCGCCGCCACCGCTCGCGCCTCGATGGCGCCATCGCCCCGGTGCCGCTGAGCGCCCCGCGCAGCCAGCCCGGCCCGTGCGGCCGCCCTCGGAGCCCGGCCCGCCGGGGGAGCGGGCCTGCCGCGGAAGCTTCCCCGCGCCCTCCCGCCCGGCCCCGCCATGGCGCTGCGGCGCCTCCTGCTGCTGCTTCTGCTGCTGCTCTCGCTGGAGTCCCTGGACCTGCTGCCCGGCGCCCACGCCGCCCGCGGCCGCGCCGCCAACCGGACCCTAAGCGCCGGCGCCGCTGCCGTCGGGGGCCGGCGGCCGGGGGGCGCCCTGGCCCGGGGCGGCCGCGAGCTGAATGGCACCGCCCGGGGGGCATCCGGCGGCCCGGAAGCGGGCAGCCGGCGAGGGCAGCCCGCGGCGGCGGTGGCGGCAGCCAGCGCGACCGTCACCTACGAGACGTGCTGGGGCTACTACGACGTGAGCGGCCAGTACGACAAGGAGTTCGAGTGCAACAACAGCGAAAGCGGCTACCTGTACTGCTGCGGCACCTGCTACTACCGCTTCTGCTGCAAGAAGCGCCACGAGAAGCTGGACCAACGCCAGTGCACCAACTACCAGAGCCCGGTGTGGGTGCAGACGCCCAGCACCAAGGTGGTGTCGCCGGGGCCCGAGAACAAGTACGACCCGGAGAAGGACAAGACCAACTTCACCGTCTACATCACGTGCGGGGTGATCGCCTTCGTCGTCGTGGCGGGGGTCTTCGCCAAGATATCCTACGACAAGGCCCACCGCCCTCCGCGGGAGATGAACATCCACAGGTGAGCGCCAGGGCGCGATGCCCCCAGCCCTGGACACCCCCTCCCCCCACCAAGCCCCCATCTCCCGTGGCCTCTCCCCTCTTAACGTGCCCTCTGGCTTCCACCATCACTTCTTTCACATGCCCTGGGATCTCCGTTGCTGCACAGCCTGGGGGCGGAGGGGGTGGGTACGCTTTGGTGGTAGGGGGCTCGCGCAGCAGAGTCAAGAATTGGTGGAGGCCACTGGGAGTTCAAGTGCCACGGTTTTTACGAAGCCCATCATCGTGCCCAGAGATCCAGGGTTCCCTTATCCAGCCATGTGGGCACTTTGGTTGTGTGGGCTTGATGGCATTTAGCTTTTTTGAGACAAACCCGAGTGTCATCTTCAGTATAGAAAGGAGTCCAGTGTTGGAACCGTACTCAAAAGAGCACCGAGTAGCTTCGAGTAAACTGGGGTGTTCCCTGCGGGGCGGGATGGGGGTGACACGCGGAAGCACAGATGGTGTCTCTCGGAGTGGGATGCTTGTCTTTCCTGCAGAGACCGGACTTGTTCCGTTCAGTTCTGGAGGCAGAACTCGCCGAGGTAACCTGTTCTCACCGAGTTCTGCCTGGTGGGCATCCCTCACTGCTCCCCCTGGGGACACGGTGGGGGCAGCCTCCTACCAAAACTTAGGCGAGAGAGCTCAGCTGGGGCAGCCTGTGGTTCCCCTCTGAGCGCCGCCCACCCCACTGGGCTGGCCCCCAGTGCGACCCGTGGGAAGTGAAAGCCAAGAGAAGTACAGAAAACCCAGCCACTCCTTAGAAGTCTGGGAAAGACACACCCCAGGTTAGCTGCCTTCATGGCGGGGAGGGGCTGGATGTGGCTCAACGGGGTCCTTTCGGGGAGCAAACCTGGCCCCAGGAATTGCCTGCATTTTTGTTGCAGGGTTATGGGCACTGCCCTGATAACCATGGCTGCCCCCGCCCTAAAACCGTTGCTTCTGGGTTGTTCCTGCAGTGCCCCACCCTGAGCCGGCATCCCCCTACACTCATCTCCACACCTGCTGTTCTCCTTACGTCCGGAACGGCTCCGTCTCTTGCTGTGTGGACATTAATCACGCTCACCCCCGGCTTGCCAAAGGGAGAGAGAAAGGCAGATAGAAATTTCTAGGCATGCCGAAAGAGCTGGTTTTTTTTTTTCCCTAGTTTGGTACTGTGGGTGTTGAGAAAAGGTGATACTCCCTAGCAGGTCCACACTGTGTGGGTGCTTTGAACTCAGACCTAGAACTGGGCTGACTCCACAAGGAGACCCGCTGATAATCTGTCCCCATCCGAGGGTGCCACCACCTTCCCTCCCACTGTTGCCTTAGCTCTCTGGTGGTACATTTTGACTCGGCATCCGCCTAGAGCCTGTGCTGGCCCTGGCACCGATGGGGCGGTGGATTTTGAGAAATGATCTGGGGTGCAGATTACAGGACAGGTGGGACGAAGTCAAGGCAAAACCCTTTCTCCTTTGAGTCTCGTCTGGCAAAGAGATCTATGTCTTGGTTAAGCTTGGAGAGCAGAGAAGGCATTGCCTGTGAGCCGTGTCCCTTCCTAAGCAGATGGTCCTTATCATCCGTCCACCTCTCGCTTAGGACTTGGAGGAGGCTTGTCTCCCAGCCCCTTCTCCCGTGTCCCTGGCCTCTCATCATAGCCTCTGCTCTCTGCCGCCGGCCTCTTGCTGGTTGATTCCCACACACCCACCTTTCTTTCTGTGGGTTTCTGTTTTCCCTGAGCCATTGTTTTCTGCACTCTTAGAGGAACTTGTTCGCTGTCCTGCCCCCTGGCCCCTCCTGCAGAGTCCGTGCACAGAGAAGGTGGTATCCTGGGATGCTGGGAGCAGGTGTCTTTGGCTGCTGCTGGCATTGGCACATGACCCCAGCGAGGTCACTGTGTCTCCTGGTATTTCCTCCGCTCCCCACTACACAGACACCCCTTATCCCAAACCAGGGTAACTATCGTGACATCACTGCAGCGCTTTCTCTCTGGGGCTGGAGAAGAGTGGTGACCGTGGGGAGGGGACTGAACCTCAGGCCTCAGACCATTATGTAAATGAGGGATATTTCTCCCTCAAGTTCACCTCCTGCTTTTATTCCACTCACAGCACCTCTTCCAGCAGCTGCAGCCTTGCCTGATCCATGCTTGGGGGAGATTGTCATATTGACGGTGTTGGGTGGGGACAATGTCTGTGTGTGTGTGTGCGTGTGTGTGTGTGGTGGGGGAGGATGTGGAGAGGCAGGGGGACAGAGCCTGAGAGGTCCAGCTAGACTGCTTAGAGTGACCTTGTGCAGGTCAGGGGAACTCGCTTTTCAGTTCTGGGTAACCCAGGTACAGAGATCCCACAAGGATCTCTCCCTTCCAGAGCGTGTCAGGGCAGGTGAGCCCACTGCCCTCTCCCTGGCAGGGGTGGGAGGCTCCTGTTACTCTGCCCACGACTCAAAGCTCCCTGCTCACTGTTCATTCCAGGAATTGGGCTTGTGCAGGCTGACTTGTTGGGGAATCAGGGTAGGGATGAGGAGGGAGCGAGGAAGACAGAGAGAAACAGTCACACCCATGGTGAGTTTTCTCCGGGGAAAGTGCAGAGAAGAAATGGGGTCAGGAGGCTTCCAGACAGTTCAGCAAAGTCCCGAGATCCTGCCTCAGAAGGAAAAAGAGGTGCTTATTCGTCCCTGAAGACGGCTGGGCAGGCAGGGCCGAGGCTGCGCAAGTCTCAATGACCTCTTTGGAAAGAAGAGTTTGTGGGCACGAAGGAAGGGCCGTAGGCCGGGATTGTCGGCTGTGTGCCCCCGCCTGGGTGTTCCCTGGCTGGCCTGGAGAGCCCTCTCTCCGCCCAGGCACAGGTGTTCCTTAGGGCAAGCCTGCCTTTCATCTCGGCACCCCCTGCAGGGAAGAACAGATTCTCATCTTTTCCAGAAGTGGTTAGACCTTGCTGTCCTGTTCCCGAGTGAGAAGTCCACAAGCTCTCTGCTGCACCAAGTCACACTCAGTTAGCCTGCCCCTGACCCCGGGGGAGGGGGAGGAGGTGGGCACAGGGACCGGAGACAGAGCCTTGTCCTGGGTGTGGGAAGCCAGCAGGCAGCTTGTCCCCAGCAGTATCTCTGTCCTGACTCCCCGGTCACTGAAACAGCCCCGGGCTGTGGCTGGAGCTGATGGCCCATAGGCATCCCCCGACTTTCATATTTGCAGAGTGGCCTCTGCCAGGCATCCCCAGGGCTCTCTGCTCAGTGAGAGGTTCCTGATGTCCTCCAAGGCCCGGGCTTCGGACGGAGGCCGACTCCTTCTGCCATTGAGCTCCATGCCAGCTGTCTCACATCCAGACCTGTTCCTTCCTCCTCACCCTGAGTTGATTCATTAGCGTCGTCGAGATGAGGGTGATGCTGAGGGAGGAACCTCATGGCTTCTTTTTTTTTTTTATGGCTAATTAACAGAAGGGTCAGGAAGCTGTTGGGAGGCTGCAGACACAGTTGGTGAAGTCACAGGTGCCCTGGGTCCTCCCACCCTCGCAACAGGCAGGGGAGGGACAGAGGACAGGGAAGTGGGCAGGGGAGGGCTGGCTGCTGGTAGAGGTAGGAAGAAGGACCTGAGTGGACATCATCAAGGACTGGGAGTCAGCTCTGCCATGGGGTCGTGGCTCTTGGGGTCTCCCTGTTGATTTCCAGAGGAACGGCTTACTCCACCTTCTCTCCTTCCAGAAAGGAACCACAAGCCCAGCGAGCGCCCGGGGTGTTCCTCACCAGCCACAGAACTGCGGGAGTGGCACCGCGGGGCTGGCTGATTCGGTGAGGAGCTCTTTCTGGCTTCCTGGGCATCACATGGTCCAATCCTCTCCATTTTTGAAGCACTGTGCACTCACTGTTAAGGACTGAGCTCAATGGGAAAATCAATTTTTGTTTTTAATTTCAAATATTAGTAGCTGGAAGGAAAGGAAAAGTGGCACCTGGCCTTGGTCTTCTTTAGCCTTGTGGGTTTTCCCGTTTGATTGAGTTGCAGCAGGGTAAGCCGCCATGTAGGATGCCTGCATTCCTACGTTGGAGTGCGGCTTGCAGTCCTGGCTGCTCTGCTTCCAACCCAGCTCCCTGCTAATGCTCCTAGGAAGGCAACGCAAGATGGCCCATGTGCTTGGGCCCCTCGCGTTCCAGGCACTTGGTATCCCAACCTGCAGATGCGTGCATATATGCATCGTGTCTGCAAATGAACCCTGCTCACCTTCTACACCCAACAGAAGTTTCAAACCCTATCGCATAAGCTTGGAAAGCACCTGCTGCCCTTGGCACAGAAATGTAGCAGGGTTCATTCTTGCTTTTGCAGGGCCGTCATGTTTCAGAAATCTCTAGACTTTGACAGTTGTCACATTACTCACCCTCTTCATGTTCCTTTGCTACCATGCCCCAAGCTCTGAAGGCAGGCATGTCTGTCCCCTTGCCCCCTCCTCTACTTCCCTCCCCAAAGCTCTGAGCACATTCGTCCTGGGGAGTCTGCTGCTAAGATACCACAGTTCTAGGCTGCCAGGACACAGGAGAGAAAAAAAAGTCCAATTTATTGTTCTCAACCGATTTTAATGAGAGATTGGATTGACTGTGCAGTCGATCCACATCAATTGTGCAGGAAGCAATGGATAAGACAGCTGAAAAAGTGAGCCGAGAGAAAGAGGTTAATTCACTGGCCCCAGACAGTCATGCCCACAGACCCGGAATCAAAGGGGGACTACCCAGGAGCAGCTCAGCCGCCTGATTTCTCGAGCTCTGCCGCCTGATTTCTCCAGGGCCTGGCAGCACTGACTGTATTCGGGTCTCAACTGTCTAGATCCACTTGTACGGCCAGTGAGATTGCTGACCGCGCGATGGAACTAGCAGCTGCTCCTGGCCACGGGCGGTCCCCCCTTCCTCCTTCCCTGCCACCCTCCTTCCCTCCTCGGTCAGACTCCTGCACGATCTGTTTTTGAAACTATGGAGAATCAAGCACGTTTTGCCCCACCGTCGTGGCCACATCCTGTGCTGATG